GGGTCATTTCACAGTGTTCCCAGTGGGTTTTGGACCAATTTTCCTTTCCCACTTTGTATTCTCTTATTCTGAATAGCTGATGTGGTCAAGAAATACGTTTTTCTGTATATCACGTAAGTAATGGAGGGTGTAGCTCTAAACAAGGCTGGCTGACCTGTCCTTGTATTGCCTGAGGGTGACTTGCAGTCTGCTGGAATTAGGTGCAGTCACAAGTTTTGTCCATAGTCTAGCAGGCATCCTGATGGGAACAGGCAATATTGGCATGTCCAAGCCAAAACATGCTCTGAATCTAGTTATCTCCTGTGGTTCTGTGAGTTGTGATGGCATTTCATGCTAATATCCAGCTGACTTCCCCAGCTTCCTTTTATCAGAGTAAGCAGAGATGCATTTTCCTTCCTTGGAAATTCCCTGCACAACATTCATTGCAGTTTTGTTAACTTCTTTATGTCCTCTTCCCAGCAGGCCATGCCTAACCTCCTGTAGGGGGTAGAGAAGAGGAAATGGAGTGAATGGGGCAGGGGTCTGAGGTCTTAGCAGTGCCAGGTGTGAAAATGAAGGATGTGTTATGTGGGGTCAGGTTGAGAAAGTGAGATTTAAGCAAGAAGGAGGTTAGCTAGAAGCAAAATACAGATTATTCAGGAGAGGTACAGAAGCAATCTCCTTCTCACCAAAAGGAGAAGACAAGATCCGAGTGAGGCCACTCACCTGACTGAAATGTTCCTCAAACACGATATTGTCACCTTCAGTATGCATGATGGGAGCTGAAATGGCATGTTCCAAGTCGTAGCCAAACCAGAGCTTGTTTATAATTGCCTGCAATGAAACAAATCCCACACCAACTGACTGGAGATATCAAATAAGAACCTGGGTCACATGCTGCCATCCTCTGCACTGGTCTTAATTCAGACCAGCTCTTTCAAAAAAGAATTGAGAGAGGAATTGCCACAGAAATGCAAGAGGCAAGAAGGTGAGGAGAGACTGAGTCTGCAGCAGGCCCTCTTCACTGCTGCCTTCCACATAGCAGTACTAGCAGCAGAAAAGTAATTCCTTTTGTTCAGAACAGTGCGTGCTCCCCTTGCTCGGTGGAAGGCATTACTGTGCGGTACCTGTTCACTCACCATAGCAGTAGCACTGATAATCCAGGGCCCGCCTGCTCCTCCGATCACCAGCGTGTCTCCTGTCTTGGAGATGAGAATGGAAGGCACCATCGCTGAGGGAGGCTTCTCTCCTAGAGCAAAGAGTATTATTCCTCCCATGTGGCTGTTAAGGGGGTTGGAGGGACACACAAGTTTATCTACCTCACCCTTCTTTCATTCCCCATGGAAAACCAAGCTGCTGCTCATTCCTAAAGCTCAAGTCTTCCAGAAAACTAGCTGCTTTGTGCTGAGACCCCATCTCACAAGAAACTGGGCCTTTATGGCACAGGCTAAATAGGAAGCATCTCTTGGTGTAGGGCATCGTACAAGCATTCAGGACTTGCTGCAGCTCATTCAACCCAGCCGAGGAACCATTGGCAGCAACCCTGCTATTGCAGTACTGATGTCCTCTCTCACAGCAGACCCAAGGGAGATTGCATCAGGGATAACTTATTGCACAAAACAATGTCACTGCATCAACACTGCTGTGTCACAGAACTCAGTGTAAGCGTTACTGATTTGATTGTGCATGCAACTATATACTTTTTCATAGATGAGCCTAAAAAGTCAGCAAGCTTGTCTTAGCAATACTTTCTTTACTTCTTCCCTTCCCTCCCCATCCATCAATGATCAGCTTCAGCTTGGGGTTTTTTTTTTTTTAAATCTCTGATTTTCCTGGCCAGAAACCAAAACTCCCATGTTTGCATGCAAGGGCATATGTGAGTAGACAAGACACACTACCGGGCTTTATCCTCTGTTAGTCTGAAACAAACTTGCTCTCATCCAGACCTAGGAAAGGAAAGAGTACCTGCAGTTTACAGATAGTCCCTTCCCAGTTGTACATGGCCTGCATACTCATCTCCTGGCCTTGTGTTTTATTTTGAGGGTGAGAATGCTCACCTGGTTTAATGCTTCTGTTTGTTATGCAGAAATCAGCGAGTTCGTTATTTAAAATGATCCCAGTTTGGTTAGAATACACAAAGGAGCCAAACCTGCAGGGGGGAAAGAAGTAGCTTTTCAGTGACCAGTGCTCTCCCGTTGTGGATGACAGTAACTGAACACAGCACCTTGTGGGTTACCTCTGTCTCCTCTCAGCCTGCAACTGCCCCAGCTAGGGTGTCCAAAAGTTGTGCTTCGGTGCTGGAGCCAGAGATAAGCTCCCTGTTAATAGTGGAAGTGGGGATTTGCCCAACTCACAGAAACACAGCAGAGCTCAGCAAGTTGTTACATCTTTGTGATGTTCCTTTGGGCTGATGCTCAAAGACCTTTGCTGTCACATGAAAAAGGCATTCACGAGTAAGAGACTGCCTAAATCTGTGAAGCCCAAGGGTTTTGCATTTCTGGTAAACAGCCCTTGCAGGTACCCTGTGAACCTGATACATGGCCTATATGACTCAATTACCAACGCCTTGGCTACTCACGGGTAGTTGATGGTGCTGGTGGCGGACACGGCACTGCCATCTGCAGCGAGCACAGAGATGTGGCTTGTGCCCTTACTTTTGTATCTGTGGTTGTAGGTGGAGTCCAACAAGTTGTAATGGTTGAGTGGATGGTCACCACGGTCATCTATTCGGCTTCTGGCAAGCGCAGCAATCTTGTCAGACAGCACGGTCCCCACAGTCACCTGCAATCACAGCAAGGACACTGAACTTGTGCCATCAAAGCACAGACATGTCTTTCTTTAGGCACAAGGAAGCCTGGGGGATTCAGCCCCAATAGTCAGAGCTTGGGGACCTGCATTGGCAGCATTCAGCCCCAGCCTTAATCTCCAGGCCACTCACATCACAGAAAATGAAATAAGCTCAGTACTGGGGCACTTCAGCATTGGCATGAGCATGTGCACACATCCTTTCTCAGGCAAGTGAGTGCCAGCCTACAGCTGACAAAGTAAATGGCCTAATCTTGCCTCTGCCTTGGCCAACTGAGCAGCGTTGCTCTTGAACTAGCAGTTCTAAGTATTTTCTTTCCTTCTGTGGATGCCAAGGAGGAGGGTGTCAGAGCATCACTTGGTCCTGTAGCAGTATACTGTTCACTGGGTAAAAAACTGACTGGATGGCCAAGCCCAGAGAGTTGTGGTGAACGGAGTTAAATCTAGTTGGCAACTGGTCACAAGCGGTGTTCCTCAGCGCTCAGTTTTGGGCCCAGTCTTGTTTAATATCTTTATCAATGATCTGGATGAGGGGATTGAGTGTGCCTTCAGTAAGTTTGCAGATGACACCAAATTGGGTGGGAGTGGCAATTTGTTCGAGGGTAGGATGGCCCTTCAGAGGGATCTGGACAGGCTGGATCGATGGGCTGAGGTCAATTGTATGAGGTTCAACAAGGCTAAGTGCTGGGTCCTGCACTTCGGGCACAACAACCCCATGCAATGCTACAGGCTTGGGGAAGAGTGGCTGGAAAGCTGCCTGGCTGAAAAGGACCTGGGGGTGTTGGTCAACAGCCAGCTGAACATGAGCCCGCAGTGTGCCCAGGTAGCGAAGAAGGCCAACAGCATCCTGGCTTGTTAGTGTGGCCAGCAGGAGCAGGGAAGTGATTATCCCCCTGT